GGGGGGGGCGATCCAGTGTGGCTGGCGGGTTAATGCGGGCGGGCTTGCGGCGCAGATGCCAACGAGTGGGGCCTTTGTCGGCGCGCGCCGGTGGCCGGGCGGTGTGCCGGCTGCCAGCCGCAGGGGGGGGGGAATACACACATGTGTATGCCTCTCGGGGGCGACGTCCGATCTGGGTGTCCGGCCTGCTCCTCGCCCGGGTGCGCGCACACACACACACACACACACACACAGGGGGGCATGCTTCCGGCCAATTACGCCCGCGTGAGGGGCCTCCCCCCCCCCAGGCCCGGGAGGCCCATGTAAGCGGCTTCCGAAGCGGCGGACGCCCCGACGGGGCAGGGGCGGCCACGGCCGCGGCTGCCGGGCCGGCTATCTGCCGGGCTGGTATTGGGCCGCGCGGCCGAGGCGCATTATCGCCCGGGCTCGGCCGGCCCGTGGTAAGGATACTTTGTGTTATATTTTGTTGCCCCGGGCGCAATCTCCCGGCCGGTCTGGTTCATATGGAACAATGCACATGTGTGCGCCCCGACAGCGGGCGGGCGGGCGCGCGCGCGCACCCGGTCCAAGGCTCCTGCCGCGCCCGGACCCCGGGCCGCCCGGTGTTTTCTCCCCCCCCCCCCCCCCCCCCCCCCGGGCTCTCGCACCAGTCGGCTTCCGGGCCAGAACATGCGGACGCCCCGCCCCCGGCCGCCGGACACACATGTCCCCCCGGGCGGTCGGCCGCCTGCCGGGCGGGCGGGGGAGGGGGGACGGCATTTGTTTATGGGTCGTCGTCGTCGGCGCAGACTGATTAATGGCCCACTCTCGGTGCCTGCCTCCGGGCGCGTGTGTGCTCGGGCGTGTTCGCGCCGGCGACCGTGGCCGGCTCGGCCGCGGCAACGGCCGGTCGGCCGGCCCCCGCCACCCGGCGCGGGTGCGCGGCCGGGGCCGCCTCCAACCCGTCCGGCCCCGGGCGCGCGCACCATTGGCAGTAGCCTGCGGTCGCCCGGCCCTCCCCGGTCGGCGGGCGTCGGCGGGGGGGGGGGCGGGGGCGCGGGACGGCCGCGGTTCCGGGTTCTTTCCCCCGGGGCGGGCCGCCGGTATGGCGCGGGTCGGCCGAATGGGCGGGGGGGGGGGGCAGGGGCCACTCATATTAAGAAAGGCCGGCGGCGCGCCCTTGGGGTGAGATCACTCGGCCGGCGTGTTCTTTTGCCTGACACCCCGGGGATGATGTTGCACCTGCGGCCAGGCTTCGGCGCGCACATGCATGTGTGTGTGTGTGTGTATGCAGGAGGCCGGGGAAGTGTCTTGCCCTCCGCCCGGGGGGGGGGCCGTTAATAGGGGCGATCTGGCGCGGAGCCGGGCGGGGAGGGGGCGTGCGCCCTGGCCGGGCGCGCCCGGTCCCCATTGCCGGGAGCATCCGCGTCGCCGTGTCGTCCTCGCTGCGTCGCCGCCCTAGCCCCCTCCAGCCGGGCCGGCGGAGGGGGGGGGGTGTTCCGTGTGCGCCCCCCCCCCCTTCGGCCGGCACATGAGGTGATCGGGGTCCGCGCCGGAGGGCGGGGTTTTCCGGCGACGGTCGCCAGCCGCCAGTCGTCGGCGCCGCGCCTCCACATACAACCGCCGAGATCTCCGGCTCCCCCGGGCGCCCCTTATCTCCCTGCCTTGCATCTCTCCCGGGCGAGGGAGATATTGCCGGGGCCGCCCTGCGGATCGCCCCGCCCGCGAGCACATGCTCCTGCCAGCGCTCGGCCGCGCTACGTGTCGGAGGGTGGGGCTCTTTGCGTGTTGTGCGCCCGGGTTCCCCCCCCCCC